TCCCCAGACACCCTCCATCTGTCTGGCCACATGCCTGTCCCTCCATCCCCTCTCCTCCCACCCCCACTCTGGCAGGCCCTGGGGACTGCAGCTGCTAGCCCCAGCCATACATCCATGGCTTGCCTGCAAACAGGTAGAGATGGAATTAATCACTCCCTCTCTAGCCCTGAACGCCAGGGCTTTGGCTGCAGTCTGCATAGGTTGCACAGCAGTTTGGAGCAGGGGAGAGAAACAAACAGATCTGTGCGCAGATCTAAGCCCTGCTGCAGCTCTAAGCCCAGGTGGAAAGTGTTGGCAAAGACCTGACAATCACACATGCTGGAAATTTAGTTGAGAAAAGCTGCACCAAAGCACGCAGAGAGCTACATTTGCATTATAAAGCAGACCATGTAAACAATGCCTTTCTGAATGCCTGTCTGTAAGGAGACACTCTGCCCTCATGATTAGTAACTCTTGCTTTCTGGTTTACATTTTAAGTTAGACTAAGTTGTGTATACTGTGTTCTACTGGGGTGTATCTTAGCTTAGGCTAATATTTGTGATAGTTCCCTGCTGTCTGCCTTGCAAATTGCCGTGTTCAATACTTTGCTTCAGAGAAAGGACTTTTCCCCCATCCCCTGTGGGCTAGGGCTATTGCCTGGCCATGCCCCCTCTTGCTCTAGAAGGGAGGGGTAAGAGCCTTGGAGGGTGTCTCTCTTCCCTCCCTTTCGGCAGTGGATGGCAGGCACGCTCTAGTGCCCCCCGGCTTCTAGCTTGAGCCACTGCAGGCACATGCCTGCATTTCCTGGTTTAACAGAGCATGCCTTACCAGCTATTAATCAGTTTAAACTGCACAGCTTAGACTAACGTGCGAAGAGTGAATCAACTCAGGCTTGGGCTTTCTGAATGTCTGTCCCTAGCCTAAGGCACCACCTCCCTCAAGTGTTCATCATCTTGCTTTTACTTCTTTTAGGATGAAATCTCATGAGTCTTCCAATCTTACTCTACATCTCAGACTCAATACTTCCTCTGTAGTGGAAGGTATCTGACCATTGTGTCTCTACCTTTTAGGATCCTGTGATCTGTAATAAGATGGCCAGCCATATTTTGAAAGCATGTTTAAATCAGTAATTGGAACAAAGCACTGGAGACGGATTAATTTTAGAATGAGGAACCACCCGTGCTATGATACAATCCCATTAGCAGCAAATCTGCTCCTACTTTCCTGCACATGTAGAGGTCTGCCCATGTAGACGCTCATCAGTAAACTGATCCTGGATCTAATGCACATGTAGACACACCCACTGATAGTACAGGTACTATCAAAAGTAGATGGACATGGTAGATACTTAATGGACCTGGTAACGTGTATTGAAGGTATTGCATGAGGCCTTGAACACAAAAGCTAGACTCCTTTCAGCCTTCTGACTTAGGAAACTTTGTTAATGAGTCAATAACATTTTCTGTCTGAGTTTGGACTGATTGGCTCAACACCAGAAGGGATACCCCCGAAGATATAGGCACTGGATTGGCATACTTGAGTTTTGTTCCTGATTCTGGTGCAACTGTAACCTGGACCAGGTCACCTAAACTCAGAACTTAATCTGCAGAATGGGATTGTGTACCTACCTTGCAAGTTGAGGCTTGATTCATTACCACTACATTTCTTTCTTTCTTTTTTTTTTTTTTTTAAAGGTATAAATACAATACTGAAGAGTTAGAAGTGCCACAGAAAAGGCACAACATAAATAGGATTGATGATGGATTAAACAGTGCAAAAAAAAAGAAACACCTCTACATCCATAGTGGTAGCTTAAATCCACCCAAGTTAACAGAGACACTAATTTTCCTGTGTTGGATCATTAGGCAAGTTATAACCTAGGGGTCAGCATCACAGAATTTACCACCACAATTATAATAAAAGTGATCCGAGTCCCAGGACCTAGAAGCAAGGGAGAGACTAAGCTACTCCTTCCATACCAATAGTTGCTACACACAGTGTATCTGAGAAGCCTTGTGGAAAATATACAGACTCCCTGGGTGCATCCCTGTGAGTGGGAATGTGCATTTTCCTGGGAATGAACATCAGTGGCACAATATTTGCCACTGCTGCTTGTCCCCAGGAAATGCTTGCACACGCACACTCTGGCATGCAGCACATTACCCTGGGTCAGGTAGAAGAGGCTGGGGCCAGCACCTGGGCTGGCCCCAGAAGCCTTATCTAGAGTCCTGAGGGTCTCTGGGGGCTGCAGCTCCAGCAATCTGGCAGCACGGAGCCTGGCTGGCAGCTGGACAGTGGTGCCACCCAAACCCAGAGCCTGGCTGGCTGGAACATGCTGCCATCGTGTGTGTTGTCCCACTTTAAGGCATAGGTTTTTTTAATACTGGGATCTGATGTCAAGCCCCCCTCTCCCCCCCCCCGGGTGCAAGTTATAATAATAGCAGTGCAGGGAACGCCCGCAAGTGCAGTGTGTGTGGTATGTGGTGCAGTACACAGGTCTGTGGCACCATGTACTGCATGTCCACCTTCATCTGGACACAGCCCCTGTATCTAGAGCACTGATTCTCAACTAAGGTGTCATAGTACCTTGAGGGGTCTTGAAATCCTTTCAGGCATGCCATGCAGAGGCATGCCATGTTAGCACCAATTCACAACATAAACCCAGAGATTTCAAACAGGAACCCATAACATTAAAAACATTCTACCCAGTTGTGAATTTGGTCAGTTCTTTCCAACAAAAGACTTGTTCTATTTTTTCTGTAGTCAAAAAATGAGCAAAAACTAAGAGCTGGCATTTTCTGAGGGGTGCCTTGAGTCTAAAAAAAAGCTGAGAACCACTGGTCTAGAGCATACTGTGATGTGTATCCCCAGGGGTATGCATAAGACATCTCTGGGAGAAATTGTGTAATGGCAGATTTAATTTTCATTATAACTGACATTTAAAGGGTTAAAATATAAATTGTATGCTGGTAAGGTCTGCGGGCAGCTGGTAAGTCTGGAAGGGAGTACACAGTAAAAAAAAAAAAGGTTTGGGAACATCTGGTCTAGAGGATTTCACCATACAGTGTGAAACCAAAACTGCTTCAGAAACACTGGAAATCCATAACAATAATATTTTTTCTCTAAACAAATTAAACTACAGCAGTCTTCATTTTAAAACAAAAATGATGTCTTCCAAGAAGCTGTACTGTCTTTTTTAAATGCAATCCTAGGCCAATGTTATACTTAATCACTGAACACAATTAATGTGCTTTGGTGCAAGTCAGTGCCTGCAAGGGTTAAGGAAACTGAACTAAGACCACACAGAAGGCAGCTTTGGCCTTTATTTCTCTGTTATTACATCTCTAGCTGTGCTAGAGATAATAAATCTTTTGGTTCTCAGTAAAGCAAGTTGCATAATGAGCTGCTTTGTAGGTGGGCTATGAAAAAGCTGACAAACTTGACCATTTTCAATGACTTTTCTGTACATCTTCTCATTGAGTGCTTTGCATGTAAATGCCATCATCAGCACTGGCTGCTATAGCAACAGGAATATTTCGGAAATGATTTAAAGTGAATATCACAGCCCATGCAGTTTCTCACGAAGGAAGGCAGAATTGTCTGTGGGAGAAATAGGAGGTCTAACTAATTTAAAAAGCAACGTTGGTTTTCAGGTGTGCTATGTCCTTATCATGCCAGCAAGTCAATAAATAGCTACATGCTGTAATGACTCCTAAGCAGCACTGAGTGTGCTTTTATTGTATGTTGTATCTGATCAGTTTAAATACCACTTAGGTACTCTTAACCCTGATTCATTAGGAACAGTTTTACAGCCATGATATATGCTAAGCATTGCATATTATGGCTCATGTGGTGCTACAGATCGAGAACCAGCTTTCAAATTATCTGTTTGCCTGGCTTAATGAAAAAACTAGCTACTGACATCATGTTCTGCAGCACAGAGCTTCAGACCACATGATGCCTTTCCTGAGAGAAATCTATTTCTGTTTTCCAAAAAAGAATGTCTGAACAGACTTGTGGCAGGGCACCCTCAGGGGTGCCATGACCTCCCCTAGTGCCCCTACCCACCGTGCCAAATTGGGGTCTTGAATGCACCCTCTATCTCACCTGCCACGTCTTGTTGGTAAAATATCAAAGGGAGGCTGCCTTCCTGCCCTCCTTGGCACGGTGCCCGCTTTGCTGTACCGGGGCTTTTCCCGTATAGATCGTGCCCCACTGGGGCCTGTCTCCCCGCACTTACGCGCTCTTGCCCCCAACCGGGCCCGTCTCCCCGCGCTCCTCACCCACACTGGGGCCTATGCCCGCACTCCTCACCCACACTGGGGCCTATGCCCGCACTCCTCATAAATCGGGGATCAGGCAGCCTTGGCCTTACCTGGCCCCAGACCCCTTCTAGGGTCCTATGCCCAACTCAGGCTTCTCACAATTGGGGCTCAGGCAGCCTTAGCCTTACCTGGCCCCCCCAGACCCACCTCTTCAGGCCTACACCCTACTGGGCTCTTCCCAATTGGGGGCCAGGTAAGGCTAAGGCTGCCTGAGCCCCCAGACCCCTTCCCTGGGTGTTGCGCCCACTGGGCTCATCCCAATATCACCCACACTGGGGCCAGGGTCAGGACACCCCAAACAGCACCCCCTACAGCGCTAGGAACCCCCCCTACTGGGGAGCTCCTAATGAGGCCTCCTCCACCCCTACAGCCTCACCCGGTCTTCCGGTGTAATCACAACAACCAACCAAAACAGAACGCAAAGCCCTTGGCTACTACGTAAATTCTCAGCCAACCTGCCTAATCTTCTCATATCCCTGTCAGGGTCCTCTCCACCCCGTCTCTGCATGCCAACACACAAACCTGCCCTGCTTGCTCTCACAGAGCCCCTGCTCCTTAGGCTGCCAAAGGGAACTGACTCTGGCCTTGGCCTTCTCTGTTTATGTAGGCCAGGCCCTGCCCCCTTCTGGTCAGCTGACCCAATCAGTTGCCTTGGCAACCCACCTGTGCTGCCCCTGGTGAGTGGCAGCTGAGCCTATATTCCTGTTCTCAGTAGCAGGCACCCTAGTGCCCTGCTACAAACCCCTTCAAAGTAAGTGATTTTAGAGTCTGCAGATATCCCAGTAAATAAAACACTCTTTTTCAAGGTTTTCAGATACTGACAAAACTAGTCTAAAAGCACCTACAGGTTCAGGTGATCATCAAAATTTTCTCTAAATTATGCTTGCTTTTCCACTCTGAAAAAGAATCAGTTCAAAATCAAGTGGAGGTAATGAACTAAACTAACATTTTCTAAAGTTGAAACACTTGGATTTGGTCTTATTTTATACCTCCTTGGAAGCACAACCCGTAGAAACAAAACCTCAAAAACTCTCTCTTATAGCTGTATTTATCCCTAAGCATCTTACAATTTGCTTCAGTGTATCCATAAACAAAAGAGTACCATGGAATGCTATTTATTAAGATTAGAACATTAGGATGATAAGATAGCTAGAGTTTCTAGAAATGTACCTAGGGTGTCATGCACGTATCATCTTTGAAAGAGGAAATGATCTGACCTATTCTCCAACTTCAACGCCAATGATTTAGACTCCTAGGAGAACAACAAAGTAATTGCTAAAGGGAAACATTAATATCACGGTAAAATCGATAATCCCATTACAAATTTCCACATCAAGTGATGAAAAGCAAACCAAAAGCAAAAGAAATATTAATCTCTCCTGTATTTCTACCACCACTAGTTTACAACTAGAAGAGTCTGTTGAGACAAACCATTCTGTATTTTTCTTTTGAAAAGGGGTTACAAACAAAATACTGTGATCAGCATTAGTCCAAGGTGAGAATCTTAAGAGCACGACCTTCGCTGACAAGGATCAGATCTTTTTAGTTAGACATAAATCCCACTGAGCAACATTAGGCTGCATACACAGCTCAAAAGGATTTGGGTTTGGTTTTTGTTTGTTTGTTTTTTACATTTCAAAGTGAAGTATCCATCATGTAAAATGCCCCTTTGTCCCCGAGCCCCGTTCCCTGCAAGAGGCAGCATGGGGTGCTGGCCGAGGGGGACAAAGGGAATGGCAGGGCAAGGTTCCCCCCCAACCCCTGACAGGCATTGGCTAGTATTTATATAGGAACTGAGTGACCTGTTCTCAGACACAAGCAGGCACCTTGCTCAAGCTGCAGATCAGTGTGAACATTCAACCTATTCTGTATCCTAACCTTGGTATCCGAAGCTATTGCAAGGAAGAAATTGACCCACTGATATTCTTACAGTTATTCCTTTTAAGAACTTGTATAACAAGGTCCTCAAGGAATCCATTTCTAATCACTTGGAGGAAAAGAAAGTGATTAGGAATAGTCAGCATGAATTCACCAAGGGCAAGTCATGCCTGAACAACCTGATTGCTTTCTATGACAGGATGACTGGCTTTGTGGATGCAAGGAAAGCAGTGGACAAGATATATCATGACTTTGATATGGTTTCTAACAACATTCTTGCAAACAAGATAAAGAAGTCCAGGCTGGATGAATGGACTGTCAGGTAGACAGAGAACTGGCCGTATTGTTGGGCTCAAAGGTCAGTAATCTATGGCTCAATGTCTAGTTGGCAGCCAGTATCAAATGGAATGCACCAGGGGTCGGTTCTAGGGCCGGTTTTGTTCAATATCTTCAGCAGTGATCCAGAAAATGGCATGGAGTGCACCCTCAGCAAGTTTGCAGATGACACCAAGTTGGGGAAGTAGTCGATACACTGGACGGCAGGGCTAGGATTCACAGAGACCTCAATAAATTGGAGGACTGGACCAAAAGAAATTTCATGAAGTTTAATAAGGACAAGTGCAAAGTCCTGCACTTAGAACTAAACAATCCCATGCACCGGTACAGTCTGGGGACTGATTAGCTAAGCAGGAACTCTGCAGGAAAGGACTTGAGAGTTACAGTGGACAATAACTTGAATGCAAATCAAGAGCATATCTTTGCTGCCAAGAAGGCTAACAGTATACTGGGGTGTACTAGTAGGACCGCTGCCAGCAGATCAAGGGAAGTTGATCCTCCAGTTGAGACCGGTGGGCACATCCACATGAATAGGAGCAGGTGTTCCCATACTATGCAGATATATGAGCTACTGCTATTTGTCTCTGGGGAACACCCCTGCTCATGTCTGGTATACAACAAATTACCAACCCCATTTCTGGCATGCAGCAAGTTGCCAGCCCCAGTAGCCTTACCTAGGGTTCTGGGGGTCTCCTGGGGCACCAGTGGTGGTGACCCACATGTGCAGAGCTTGGCCAGCAAGACTTCAGTTTTGGGCAGTGCACACTGCTGTCCTGTGCACC